AAGCATTCTTTCCAACACCCCTCCCACCTTCCAACTGGCATAAAAAGACTCAGATCTCCATTCCTACTTGAGTCTGACAAAGGGAGCTTTGACTCTCAAAAGGTTATACTCCGAAAATCTGGTTGGTCTTGAAGGTGCCACTGGACTCCAGTCTAACCGTTCTACTGCAGACCAACACAGCTACCCTCAGAAACTATTAGGAAAAAAACAATCACTCATCACTCACTTAGAACAGAACACTGAACATGCTAAAGCACTATGCAAATATTAAGTACTATCATTCAGGTGCAATATCATTAGTATAGAGGTTGAAAGCAGCTGGTGCAAATGCAAACATTCGAAACAGAGCGAGAGACTCAATTTCAGAGGCATAAAACAGAGCCTTAGCGCAAAGAAACGTATTATTCTTGTTAGTGTGTTTGGCAAGTTTTAAGGAGGGATGATTTGCATTCCACAGGGTTTTTCTAACACTTCTACATTTTGCAGTCTAATGTGGTCACCTAATGGTTAGTTTCAGTAACTGCAAGAAGAACTCTTTTGACTACTGTTTTCTGAAGACAACAGATAAAAAAGGAATTTGTAGCTTCTTGAAACAAGCAAGAAGGGTACATCATTAGACAGGAAAACCTGAAGGATACAAGCTTTCTCACCGCCCTTCTGAAACAGAAGCTACATATAGTGCAACTCGTGCACAGCAGTTGGTGCAAGAAAACATGGTATTCTCCCTAACTGTTGCAGTCACATAACCCAAGGTGATGAACCAAAATGAGGTTAAAGGGTTATATTGCTGTGGTCTAAGTGAATGGTATATATACATATATTTTGTTATTCCACAGATCTGATGAAAAAAACCCAACGGAAAACAGACTACAGTCCTGAAAAATACCCACCCTGTTCAAGAAGACACCATACAATCTCCCAGCTTTCCAAGAAAGCATTCCTCAAAAGTTCAAAAAGAAAATTCTCACAATATGAGCAAAACCCATGACGGCCATGTACCAAATAAAATAATCATCACGTTAATTAGACTATTATTCATCCGTGATCAACATAGGATCCTTATCATTATGCCAGATTAAATTTCTCCCTGGAACTTCCCCAAACCATGTAAAACCATTTTAAGTTTCTCAAAATGTTTACCACTTCAGTGGAACGTGTCCATTCTACCTTCTTGCGAAAGATCATGGGGGTACCCATGTGTGTTCCATATGCTGCTTTATGCTTGGAGTGCGGACAGAATTTGATGGCTACTAAGGCATGGATCCACACCATTACATTTTGGCTGCGACTCCACTTTGACCCCTCCAGTTATCTGTATCAATTACTTTCTGAATCTGCCAATTCTAGCTGGCTATCTCACACTGAAGCCAAAATATGCTCCTTGAATTTACCCTTAGAATCTCTATCCTTGCTTTCTGAGCCTGGGGCTTTTTAAAAAAATAAAATCTAGTTTATTGGGCTCAGAGTTGCAAACTCTCCATAGCTTGGCCAACAGAACCTGTTCTCCCCTAAATTTAGGGATTGTTCCAAATGCAAATCTTCCAGCTGTATATCTTTATCAACTTATTGCTCCAAATTTGCGCAGAGCCATCTCCTTGGCCAGATTTAATGTTCTTCCTTCTGCTCTTCTCTCTGGCAGATTCCAGGGGATCCCCTACTCCAGCAGGTGCTGTCCTTGTAGGAAGAACTGTGTTGAAACTGTCCCCCATGTTCTCCTTCAATGTCCCTTTTATCTGGTGCCCTGCCAGGATCTTCTGTATCCTATATTAGCTCAATTCTCAGAAATTCCTGACAATTTTAAGGTTCTGTTTTTGCTTGATAATCAAAATACGGAAATAACCGAAATAGTAGTAAGGTTTCTTCTTAGTGCTATGGCTATACGTTCTGATAAGTAACCACTAGGTTTTTCTGCTTTCATGCTGTTTTTCTGAGCCGTAGCTCCAATTTTACCCTATATGGATTTGTATTTTCTGATCTATATTTAATCTGATCTCCTATTGTATGTATTTGTATGTAAAGGCTTGTCAAAGTAAGTAAAATGTTTACCAAGGTACAAGAAGAGGAGATTGGATTTATACCCCACCTTTCACTACACGAAGGAGTCTCAGAGCAGCTTACAATCTCCCTTTCCCTTCCCCTCCCCACAACAGACACCCTGTGAAGTAGGTGGGGCTGAGAGAGCTCTCTCGAGAACTGCCCTTGAGAAAACAGCTCTGAAAGAACTTGTAACTGACCCAAGGTCACACCAGCAGCTGCACGTGGAGTAATGGGGAAATAAACCCCGGTTCTTCCAGATTAGAGTCCGCGCTCCTAACCACTACACCAAACTGGCTCTTATAAACAAACCAAAGCTGATCAAATGAGCTGACAGCCCTGAACTGTCCTCCCTTGGGGGCTAACATAAAAGAAAGCTCCCTTCCCTCCCTTTAAAAGGTTTAGAGTGGAGAAATTAAAAACGGTAGCAAGCCAACTGCCCCCCTCCCTGCCAAGACCATTAAGCCACAGAAGTGAGAGGCTTTAAGACAGCACCAGTAGACCAAACAGAAAGTGTGTTGAGGGAAGGGTTTACACCTCCTCTCAAGCAACTCTCCATATCGTCATTAGGGAAACCTGCCTCAGATTGCTTTAGGCTCACCTTAGAATTTCTCACAGGACTCTGAGATTTTCAGTGATTGAGGTCAGCAGTGCCAGGGAGTGCAGGTCATCCCCTGAATGGGCAGAACTGACGCATCATGCTTTCGTAGCTATAAAAGGTGTGAGCCTTCAAAGCAGAAAGCTAAGAGAATCCACCATACTGGACTGGACCTCCCCATCCACTTCATGTGGCTCTGCAGGCAGAAAGTCTCAGATTCAGTTCCCCAAAGAATAGCACAATGGAAGGCTACAGAAAGGCCTCTGCCCAAGAGGTGCTGCCAGTTACAGGAGGCCATATTACATTTTTTTAGTGTCATTCAGTATATAAAGGTAAAGGTTTCCCTTGCTCAAAAGCCAGTCGAATCTGACTCTAGGGGGCGGTGCTCATCTCTGTTTCCAAGCTGAAGAGCCAGTGCTGTCCGAAGACGTTTCCGTGGTCATGTGCCCAGCATGACTAGACGCCAAGGCACATAGAACGCTGTTACCTTCCCACCGAAGTGGTACCTATTTATCTACTTGCAATTTCTTGCTTTCGAACTGCTAGGTTAGCAGGATCTGGGGCCAGAGACAGGAGCTCACTCCGTCATGCGGCACTAGGGTCTCGAACTGCCGAGCTACGGACCTTTCAGTCTGCAACTCAGTGTAAAACACAAGAACACAATATTGGATCAGGCCAAAGGCCCATCCAGTCCAACACTTTGTCACACAGTGGCCAGAAATACCAGGTGCCATCAGGAGGTCCACCAGTGGGGCCAGGACATTAGAAGCCCTCCCACTGTTAACCCCCCCCCCCAAGCACCAAGAAGACAGAGCATCCCTTGCCCCACAGCTAACAATGAAGTACATGCATTCAGGAATGGTTATACTTTTATTGCAAAGCTATAGATGCAGTAACACAGGCACTGTTAAGAATGGTGGCAACCCATAGAGCCTAATAGGATATAGGGTATTCATATGCACCCCCCCCATGCATGGCATATGCCCCAATTAGACACCCCCGCACGCAGGACCAGTT